GGAAATTTTTTAAATTTTTTAAATTCAATAGGGGGGGAGAAGTCAAAAGTATTATGCTAGTACTAATAATATAAAGGTGGTGGTGGTGGTGGTGGTGGTGGTGATGGTGATGATGGTGATGATGGTGATGATGATGATGGTGGTGATGATGATAATGGTGAAGGTAGTGATGACAATGATGGTGGTGATGGTGATGATGATGGTGATGATGGGGGCAATAATGGTGGTGATGATGATTGTGTTAATGATGGTGATGCTACTGATAATGTTTTTTATTAAATTTAACCTGTAGGCCTTTCAAATAGCATTTTAAAGGTAGTTCCAAAGCACCCCTCTGAGATAACGTACTGAAAAACACACATCACCTCTGTGCTTCTCTTCCCCGAATGCTTAACTTCACCTTAATCATGGAAAACATCAGATAAATCCAAGTTAAGGAAGATTCTGCAAAATAATGGAACAAACTGTTGAAGTCAAGAATGATTTAGAAAGACTGAAGAACAGTCCTAGATTGAAAGAGAACAGGAAGTTCTGACAAATAAAGACACTGGGTGATCCTGGACTAGGTCCTGCAATAGAAAAGGAACAAATGGGACATATGACAGCATTTGAATAATATCAGTAAATTAGTTAATAAATTTAGATTTAAAAAAATATATTCCATGATGATGTAATACTTCAACATTGAGGAAACTGAATAGAGGGCATATAGGCACTCGCTGTACCATCTTTGCACCTCTTCTGTAAATCTAAAATTATTTCAAAATAAAAAGTTTAAAATTTATAAAAAGCAGTGCCAAGTATAACGTTAATAAAAATTGCTCCTGACATTTTCCAGATCTTAGCCACTCCAAGGAAGTTTTATAAAGTGCCATGTCTTATAGTTTGAATTATGCTTACTCCACCAAAATGTATAATCTGTCACTTCAGAATATGACCCTATTTGAGAATAGGTCCATCAAAGACATAATTAGTCAACTACTAGAATAGGGTGATTTTCTAATCCAAGATGGCTGGTGTCCTTAGGAAAAAGAATGCTATGTAAAAAGACAGACGCCTGCATGGGGTGGGGGGAACCGTGTGAACATGAAGG